CCCTGAACGAGGCCAGGAAAATCTCAGTGTTAGTACAGCTTCCCGAGGGCTTGCCGGTGCTCACGGTCCATCTGATTCCCCTTCAGTCTTTGAGACAATTTCCCCTCACGCTGAATCCCCAATTTCTACCTTCTTGGACACACAAGACGGTCACGACCGAGGGCGCGTGACTGCCTGTCGTGCCGCTAATACATAATTCAATCCCACTTCTCCAGCGAGAGAAGATTTAATATTAAATTTGCTGCGCCTTGATCATTTAAATAGTGAAGAAGAAAGACACATAAAAGCTTTAATTCATGAAAATTCAGATAGATTCCATTTACCAAACGAAAAACTAGAAATTACCAGCTTTGCTGAACACTCGATCCCCACAACGAATGAGGTCCCAATTCATGTAAAACAATATAGGTTTCCACCTATTCATAAAGAAGAAGTAGATAAACAAGTTAACGATTTACTACAAAAAGATGATATATAACTTTCGAAATCCCCCTACAACTCACCTCTTTGGATCGTTCCCAAAAAGGCAGATTCACATGCAATAAAAGATGGCGCATGGTAATTGATTATCGACTACTAAATGAAAAAACTATAGGAGACGTCTATTCCCTTCCGAATATTGCGGACATTTTGGACCAGCTAGGTAATGCAAAATATTTCTCCATATTAGATCTTGCATCCGGTTTCCATCAAATCCCAATGTCCCCCAAGGACGCTCCTAAAACTGCCTTCAACACGCCATATGGTCATTATCAGTTTAAAAGAATGCCCTTCGGACTTAAGAACGCACCAGCCATTTTCCAAAGATTAATGGACAATGTACTGTCAGGTCTTCAAGGTAATGAACTTTTTGTCTACATGGACGATATCGTAATTTACGCCCGCTCTTTGGAGGAACATAACATAAAGTTTAAAAGATTGAAGAAAAAATTAAAAGAAGCTAATTTAACCTTACAACCAGATAAATGTGAATTTTTACGTCATGAAGTAGCCTTCCGTGGGCATATAATAAGTTCGGATGGTGTTAAACCAGATCCGTAATTTTTTTTTTTTTTTT